CCAAAAAAGAGAGAAAGAAAAACCACAAAAAACAAGAAAAAGGAATGTCGAGGAACACTCTGCATTTTCAACATTAAGAAAATAATTTTATATTAAAATTAATGAATTTTAACGACATTTTCTAATTGAAAACACACAAATAATTTTCAACATAACATTATTTTATAACCAGAAATTCTAAACATACATTACCACATGAGACTCCTTAAATATAATTACTCATAAAATCTATTAATTTTGTTTGAGTTTTTTGTTTGAAAAAATGCTTTATTTCATAATAAGCCTCACATCTTTGCAATGCACTAAAAATACCTTCACAAGAGAAAAAGTTCGTTATACAGAAAATGCATTTCGCTATTGGGGGTTTATTTTACGAAGAAAATCGTGAAATGTTCTTGGTTCCAGGAAAAGTTTCACTATTTAGAAAAATGCGCAATATAGAGGTTCGTAATATGGAGGTTCGACTGTGTGTGTGTGTATATATATATATATATAAATGTATATATATATATACACACATTACTATATACATAGATATAAACCATTACTTCCATATTTTTTTTTAAAAAATCCATATAGGCATTTTAAGAAACATAAAAGAAAAAAAAAAGAATCAATTACTAAATCATTAAAAAGAACTCATGTGATACTCTCTGCTCATCATTTATTTGAACTTGATATTTAAGGGGAAACGGTAATATCGACAGAGTAACGATATATATATATAATTTTGGCTAAATAATCACATGTCATAGATCTCATATCTGCAGTTAAAATATAAATCTTTTACAGAAATTTCAACAGCGGGAGGTCTCAAGTTCCAAGAATAGATTACTTCTTTGGAATCGATCCTTCTTTCGCGGGCAGTTTAAATGACTTTTCTAAAAGGACTGAAGCTCAAATGATTGTGATGGATTGGTAACTACGAATTTTAATAAAATAATTTCTGGTAAAAATGTATAGTTTGTTATTTGTAGATTCTTTTTTCAATTTCTTTTGTCCCGCCCCCCCACTGAAATCGGTTTCATTTTTTTCCCACGGAAATATTTAATAATAATCCAATCCAATTCAATAAAAATTATTGATGATCGACAGTGGACAGATCTTTTTTTTTCAATCAATGTGTAACAAAAAGAAGAAATAAAAAAGAACACTGTAGCATAGCAACAAAAGCGAGAACGGTTCCACCTTGTGATGTACCTGGTCCTCTTTTCTCTAATTGCTAGAAGATACGCCGACAAATGTGACAAAGATCCGTTCGTTTTCCTAATTTTTATTTATCCCACTATAAAAACAGTACTGGGCTAAGATTTGAAAAATAAGCCAAACTCAAGCTATCCACCATTACAAGTGATTGGAGGTTAAGTTTCCCTACGGGAAACAGGAACTCCCCAAAACATTCAACATTCATTTTCCCAATTGCTGGGAAAAAGTTGCGTGAATGGGTGGTCAAAAATTTCGACCCTTTCCCACGGGAAGTTCGAAGGATGAAATAGGACGCCTGTACAATGTGCTTTTCGGTTTCAAACGCATTTAAGACAACAGCGCGTCTGGATTAGAGCGCTCCCACTATGCGCCGAGACAGACTCCGCGCTCTAAGGGGCCGATAGACAAGAAATCAAAGGAATAGGCGGCGAGTGACTATGGGAAACTTGGAGATTAAAAAGGGAGAGCGAGAGTTTACGACGACTTTTACTTGAGAGAATCCGAAGAGGCCTCTCAGCCAACGATACTAATTACCTGAGAGTCCGCGAATTAACGAAAACGAAGGCAGACTTAGAACCGAGGAGTTTCGAGTCAGCAAGAGCACGGTGGGATAGAGTCAGCGAGCTCACACAAACTCTGTGTGGAATTACAGAAAAGCGAAGACTTTCTCTAGTGAACTGTAGACCCTTTGGCATATCAAATATACAGGACATTTCCTGAAAGTATCACTATAATTAATATGTTTATGCGAGCAGTATAAAAACATTACCGCGAAAGAGCCTCTATATCTGCGGACCCATTTTGCAATTAAATTGCACCGGAATATTTTTTCATGCTTTTTATGTACTTTAATAATTAGTTTAATCCAGAGCTGTTTGAAGTCATTAAAACGTCTACCACACATGAACGTTTTCCATTGCATTGCAGGATAAAATGGAGAAAATTCCTCAGAGTAACTGACAAGTACAAACAATTTGACACCCTTATTAAATATTTAACACAAATAGAGTAAGTATTTTACATTAATCTCGAGCAGTAGCGCATACAAGGGGGTGGGGGTCTCCGGGTCCGAGTCACCAGAGCGCTTGATTTTTTTTTTTTTTTCGGTTGATCTTATTTATATAGTACGTAAAACTTAAGCAAACATTTGTGATTAATAATTAATTTTATTAATTAATGCCAAAATTATTTATTGAATAATTAATTTTTTACTGTTTTTTCCACCCGAAAATCGAAAAATCAAAAGAATATGCAAGGTGACATTTTGAAGCATGATATGAGAATGGTGGACTTTCGAACTTGAACCTCTCCCTCCCCCTTGAAAAATTCCTGTGTGCGCCACTGATCTCGAGTGAAACAGAAATTGTATACTTATAGCTATTTTCTACTCTTCTCACCAAACATGACTGCAAATAAGCATGCTATATTTCCGCGCGCTTCCTATCCCAACTGGAACTTTACACCCCCGGATCAGGGGCATTCCGACTGTAAACAGGAAACGCGATGTCTGCTCGTCTTCATCAAAAGACAACCGCAATTTAGATTCTAAACTCTAAATATTCGCAGCACCTTCATTGGTGTAATTTACATCTAAACCCGCATTTTACTAATTAAGTATAAATTAAATGAAAACGTTTAATTGAATGTAATTTAAAATTTGTATTATCTCCATCTCTGGCTGTTACTGAAAACACAAACTGAGGCACAATGTGGTTTTACACAAGGGAAAATAAATTATAAATTTTTCTAATATTCAGTTTATTTCTATTAGCTAGATTAGTACGAAACAGATTTCCTTTTCCTGCAGGAACTGTATGGCCTTTTCTTATTTTTAATTACTTTTTTACTACAAGTTAAATTTTAAAGGACAATAACTATTATTTTTTTAATTACCTTTATAAAAAAATTACGACGAGAAGGTAAAGTAATCGGATTACTAGGAATCTCGTAATATTGCACTGTGGGCGCTTATTTCCATACAATCGAATCACGGTGTTCCCCAAGTGGTCACCCTCCCAAGTACTGACTGTTCTCGATGATTCTTAACTTCAGTGATCGGACGAAAACCAGTGTTTGCAGCATGCACGCAAACGGATTCTTTATATGTTTTATGACAGGGAATGGATCTTAATAAACGGGCTTTAAATAAATGCGTTTCGTCGGATCTTTGTCCAATACTACTCAATTCCCTTGCTTACAAAGAATTAAGAATAAAGTCTACTGAGCACATTAATGTCACATTAAGACAGTGGGCATCACAAAGAGATGACACCTGTAGATTTTATTGTACTTATACTCGATTGGATCGTACTACTCATTAGACTATTTATTTATCCAAAGCTCGTGTGTGCTTGGCTTCTTGACCATTTGACACCAAGCCTCCCAATACCGACTGACGGCGTAGTCAGTCGGGTATTCATCAAGTTCAGTGCATTGGAGCAGATGGTCGCCATCCATTCTGGCATGGCTGCAGAGCGGGCAGGCCTCGTTAGCAGCCAGGCCAAGCCAGTGGAGGTATACTCCCAAAAAGTCATGTCCTGTGGTTAGGTGAAAGTGGGCAACAGCCTCGGCTCTCTCCAGGTGCCTAGGGATTGAACCTACAGTGGCCAGAGTTTTCCATGGCTTTCCAAGGCTCTTGGTTTTTTGGGTCACGTCAGTATAATAGTTAATGTATGTGGAAATAATGCTATTTGATCTTCTGAGGGTCAAGAGGACTTCTGTCTCATTGCCGGGGATCCCAACATGACTTGGCACCCACTATAAGGCTACAGTTCAGTCATAAAAGATATGCTCCACAATTTTAGTTCGGCACTGAATTGTGTTAAGGCTGTCAGTTGGTGTAGAATATTTAAATTATTAGAATATGAAACATCAATAATAATTTTAAAAAAGAACGTAGGGGGGGGGGGCGCGTGTATGCGAGAATTTTAAAGAATCATATACAAACCCGGATGCAAATTAAATAAATTTTTACTTTTTTCCTGTGCCCAAATTTTTCCTATTTTTCTCTCCCACATTCCATCACTGCACTAACATTTAATGAATTTTGAATTTCTTCAGATTTTTACGTTATTTTCAAACTTTTTTTTTTTTGCATACTTTTTATAATTAAATTTTACATCTGATCTACAGGTAGTAAACTCCCACGCTCCTACAAATCCATACATTTCTCAGAAAATTAAAAAGCTAATACTGGTTCTTCATATTTTCTTCATTTTAAAAACCTCTTTGCTACATAACAAAAAGAACATGGAAGTAAAAAATTATAATCGACATCTAGACATTATTTAAGTGAGAGAAGTAACAGAAAAAAAATTTCATATTTTCCAAACTAAAATATACAGAGAAAAAATAATAAAAAGTGACAAATTACTTCTTACATGACTAAGTAATCAAACAATAAGTATGGAAGAGGACTCGAAAAATGAAAGAAAAAAAAAGAAGATATGTGTTCGCCCATTTTCTCAAAGATGTAGAAACAGCAAACGAGATATTGATCGCCCATTTCAATGATAAACACGTTACGATAAGTAAATGTGTTCTCCAATATGTTTTTAGCGAAAAGGGGAAAATAAAAGGGAAAAAAATAATCAATGAACGAGTCTATTTAATTCAGAAAAAAAAAGGAAGAGAAAATATATTTCTTTTTGAAAAAGTTCTTTGAAAATGGTGGTGTGTCACTCTTTTTTTAAAGCTTTGTAAGATAGTAATTTTAAATTTTGGACAGTTTTATTCCCATATGTAGAGGTAAGATGGCTGAATTTTTAAAATATCTTATTATTTTAAAAAATTATGTTTTGATAATAAATTATGTGAAAGTTTACTTAAAATGATTGCGTCACAGTAGCCTTCAAATAATGCAAAAAATGTTACACATTTTAAGATTCTATTAAAAATATTTTCATGATTAAATAACATTATAAGAAATGAAAAAATATAAAAGTATAAATGGACATCATATATCTCAAAATTTATAATGGGCTAAATTCATGACGAGCACATGATAAATATAATCTCGCGTTTTCCACAGTTGGTGCAGGACATTCATACTCATCATTTCAGTTATATATTTTTTATTTGCTCGTACTTAAAACAATAATTTTACTACTGAAGATCACACACAACTTCTAACAACATGGTTTTAATACCTATATTCACAAGAGAATTAAGTAAAGTATTTAACATTTAAAAAGCAGATATACATTACACAACAAAAAACTCGATGACTCATTCTTAACTCACTAAGAATGAGTCATCGAGTTAACTCACTAAGAACAAACGATTCTTTTTCGTTGTCATGGCAACCCGAGTTGGCATTACCATAAGAAAAGAAAAGAAAATACTAATGTGAAACTACGTAGGTTTTAAACAAAATAAAAATTAGTTAAAAATTAAAAAATACGGTATGTTTTTTAAAAACTGTCATTAGAAAACTTGTATCAGTTCAAGTCACAACATCGCTGAATTCAAAGCTGATATTGGATTTTAAAAATTCAGATTCAGTTTCAGATATAAAGTTGTTAATAATATCTAAGAATAACGATATTCTTAAAAAATTTTTAAATATAAAAAGATAAATAAGCTTGTTTTAAGTGGGTACTCTTAAAAAAAGAATGTGCATTTTGTTCGAGCGTTACTTCTTGTAAACAAATATGTATTTGTTACATTCCTACTATTATATAGCTCACACTCTCTATGTATTTATTTATTTATTCATTTATCTTGGTGGAATTTTCAATCGTTAATAAAATACATTTTAAAGCGCTCAATTGAGCTGAAATTTTATATACATGATTATTTTGGATGACAATACAGTAATTTAATTATAATTAATAAAATTAATTGATTAAAACTAATTATTCAAAGAATTACAAATACAGCCACGTTGGCATCATTTTTGGCGACTAGTGTCAAAACTTGAAAAGGTGTTTGTTTGTTTTTTTCTCACGATTTAAAGCATTCAGTTGAACTGAAATTTTATATACATGATTTTTTTAGGATGACAATACGATACTTGAACGATAATTAATGAAAATTAATTACAACTTAATATTGTGATTCTGTCCTATGTATATACATATTTATATTAATTGTAACTATTTAATAAAAAGTAGCTAAAATAGACTTTTTCTTTGTTCATCTATGTAGGAATAGACTTAAAAAAAAAAAAATTATATTACTTGTATATTATTTGTAAAAAGCAAAAAACTTAGCAACGGTGATAGGCTAGAAACACGAGATTGTATTTACCATTTGACTATGACGCGACATGACTTTAGCCCATTACACACATATGATTAAATCATTACTAACATTTCTACTTAAATTTTAATTTTAGGATAAAAAAATTATACGAATAAGAATAATCGTTCTTGTCAGAAATTGTTTTTGGTATTAATCGGTTACAGCAACCTTGAAGCCAAATAAGGGGACAAATGAGACAACACGTCCAAATCAAGTTTATACTGGTTGATGATATTATAAATAATAAGCATAAAATTGATGCAATAAAACTAAAATTCCATTAATTGTGTTTATAGTCAATTTATAATTCGAATAACATCTCCAAAGTTCGGAAAGGCGATAATTCTGAAAAGTAGTCTACAACTGATGGTCCTTCTAAACAGATAAGTACTTTTTCGCTAAAAATCAAATATCAAAAAATAATCATTTTGTTACAGTATAAAATACAGAGAAAAAAAGATGAAGTCTGCAAGACCTGTATTGAAAAATAGTCTGCACAGTCTGCATTGAAAAATATTTTTTATATACATTTTTCAACTCTTGTAGCAATCTGATTTCTTTGAAGTGTTGCATTTGAATATTTCAAATTCTTTGAGCGATTTTCGGTTTTTGCTCTACGTATATTCTTCGAATTTGATACAAATTGCACTTGTTAGTAAATGATATCTTCTACATTTTCCACTGAAAGGTCAGGTCACTCCATAACATGAAATATATAAATACCGCAAACATTTGTACATTTATTTTCTTTTAAGATCTATTCACCAAAAAAATCAATAAAAATAAGACATAAATACATTTAAAAATAAATATGTTGCCCACTAAGAGCTATTCGTGATTTTGCAGTAGCTTACCCTAATCATTTCACAAATATATATACATATATATATATTCCTTCGTAAAGTATATATATTAAGCATTTTTAGAGATAAATTGGTAAGATAAATAAATATATTGTGCTTCATAAATAAAATATTCTTAAAAAAAAATATTTAAATAAGTGAAGCAAATGTGTTTTCTCCTAAAATAATCTTTAGCTATAACCTTAAATTATGCATTTATTACAATAGTTCGTACTTACGTATTATCACAACCGCATTGGCGACAATAGGAAACGAAGCACATGGTTGCCAATTTAGCACGTACAACACATCCGAAATCGGGGTTACCAACTTGGCGAGTAATATTATTGAACGATGGTGATTGTTCCGATAATGCGTAAGTACCTACATTATTTTTAATCTAAATATATATATATATATATAGTATTTTACTATTTATTAATAGTGGATTTTAAATTTTTTCTTTGACAAGTGTAATATCTTTCATAATACAGATATGCAAAATTGAAAGTTAATATAGAATTATATATATATATAAATAAAAGGGAATAAAGTCCTATTTTTTTAGACCACATCCGTGGCAAAGAAGAAAAACAAATTATGCCAAATTGCGCGCCAGCAGCTCCTTTTATTTATTAGGCTTATATCCAATATGAGATAAGTCGGCAAGAAGGCGATAAATTAATGTGTGAGCTGAAATAAGATCAAAACTTTAAAAAAAAACCCGCCACAGACAATTTTATTTCACAAATATTCAAACACAAAAAGAATTCCGAATACTGATTTTTAAATACATATGTAGATTTTTTCCAATTCGGTACTTACGTTTTATCGCAACAGTCGCCAATGTTCAAGATAACTGGCCAAGTTGGCAACCCCAATTTCGGATGTGTTGTATAAGTTGAATTGGTAATCATGTGCTTCGTTTCATATAAAGTCGCCAGTAGGTTGCGATAATACGTAAGTACCACATTAGTTCTGTTGATTTATAGCAAAA